CTTTTGTTCTCCTTCAGGAAAGAGTGAGGATTGTCAGGACCTTTTTGGCTCTTGCCAAGGCCTTTTATGTCCCAAACGTTTCCATGAAAAGGCTCCCTCCTGACCACCCTGCCCCCTGACAGCCATTCAATCCAGCCAACAAGCTGATATCATTATCTACAAAAGGAGGCCAGTGAGTACCAGGGTCCTCACAGCCAAGTTTGGGAAATCACAGGCAAATCTCCCAGCAACAGAGAGCTGGCGGAGATCAGGCGGCACCACAGCCAGCGCGGGCTGGGCTGGCAGCTTGCATCCACCAGTTCTCAAAGCACAAAAGAAACGTGCTCGGCGTGGTGCCAGCGCTGGCTTTGTCAGGGCTGGGGCTGTGCCGCCTGTGAGCTGGCAGCCCCTCGCAGAGTGCCCCGGGGGGCTCAGCGTGCGTTAGAGGCTGCTGGAAGCAATTGTAAGTTTGAACAGCCGTGCAAAGCTGTCTCTTTTTGGTCAGTGGTGGTTTTAGGAGATTAACCACTTACTCTGAGGGAAAACAGGGATGGTTTTGGTCAGAGTGAGATTCATTCCAAATCTCACCTGGGACTTTCCTTCTAATGACTCTGGTTTATGTTCTGAATATGGCATGTGGGTACCTTGTCGCTTTTAGTTTGACATAATGTTCATCTGCTTTGCACCCTATCTAAAGACTTTCTTTCCAATCCATCTTAAAATAGAGAGCTGTTCAGCAGTGAAAGCACTTACTATTTTGAAGGCATCTGTAGAGGTGATCTGGAAAGGTGATTGTCAGAAACACTGAACACAGAAAGGGCTTGAGGAGGGACAGCATATTCCTGTGTTGCAATTGTGTTAGGCAATACAGGAGTAGAACTGGTTTTGGTATGTTTTATCTCACAGACTGCATCTCTGGTTTGCTTGATAGTCCAGGTAGAGAGGGATATAAAAAATAGCCAAGAGAAATGATGACGCAGGAGGAAGGAAGGTGAAGGGAGCTGACTTCGCTCAAGCTTGGGTGGAAACAGGGCGATGGTGTGGATGGTGATGCCTGCGTTCTCCCCTCTCTGCAGGAGGGTGCTTTGCAGTCCCTGGCAGCGAAAGGAAGCTGAAGATAGGGCGATTGCAGGGGAATGCACCACTAAAGCCTAGAGCAGCCCCTGGGGTCCCTGTGGGTCTGCTGCAGGTGATGAATGCATAGGAAGGCAGAGTTGTGTGTGACATGGAATGGTTAATTCTAGCACTTTCCCCTCCTATCCCAGTTCGATCCTGACAACACCGGCTACATCAGCACCGAGAAGTTTCGCTCCCTTCTCCAGAGACACGGCTCGGAGCTGGACCCCCACAAGCTGGAGGTCCTGCTGGCCCTGGCAGACAGCAACTCTGAGGGGAGGATCTGCTACCAGGACTTCGTCAACCTGGTGAGTGCTCTGACTTGCAGGGCCTGTGAGTCCTTGGCTCTGCTTTAAACATTGGCTGTTGAGGGACAGTCTCCCTCCCTCCACACCAGTGTTTGCTGTGTCTCTGCATCACACTCTGCATGGGCTTGCTGAAGCATTCAGTAGTGATTGAACTCTCAAGTCAAGAGTCAAGTTGCTGCTGAATTTTCCAGGGAACCAAGCTTGCATGGAAAGAAACTGTGAGAGCTGTCATAAGAGGAGCATGAAGCAATGGCTGCTGCTAGTTTAGAGGCTTTTTCTCTCAATTTCAGTTGGTAGCTGTCGTAAGGAGCCATTTTTAGCAAGCAGAGGTCTGTCAGTCTAGATGTCTGCTATTTTATCTAGAGATTTCACCACTTCCAGACAAAATATATAGATAATGTTGTGTTGACTTGCTGGGTGGAGTCATATTGCGCTGCTGTAGGCATCAACAGCAACAGGAATAAAGTGTTTCAAGGTCATGTTCATTTTATCCCAGGTGAGATGTCTCAGACTGCATGAGTCATGATCTGGATGTCTCTCTATCTCTACTAACGAGGCAGTTAGTGAAGAGATCTCTCTGTTTCTTGTCAAGGCAGTTTGGTGAGCCAACACAGATGTAGGCATGTGTCATTACATGCCCAGGATGGCCTGGAACTGTTGTTTGCGACACATGGGTATCTTGAACAGTGGCCGTTCTAGGGACTTTGCCCTGTTCTTGCTCTGTCGTTCCCCAGCTGAGTCCCAGCAGATTAAGTGCAGCAGTAAGAGAAAACTGGATGACAAAGTCAATGAGCAATGAAAGTCAGTGACATTTCTAACGTTTTGCTGGAAAGCTGGATGTGTTCTTGATGCAGAGTATAATGGTTTGCATCTCTGTGTGTTCCTGCAGTCAACATGGGGATTTGATCCCTCCATTTGTCATGGTCACTTGTGCACATGTTCTTGGTTCAGAAAGAAAGCATTTTCTGTATGTCCTGTCCTCACATTAATCAGAAAAGTATGATAACAGGGACAGCTGTCAAGGATCCAGGTGACGTCCTCAGTCGGGCCGTGGGCAGTGTGAAGTTGAAATTGCTGTGACGCAGTGACATAGATCTGCTGCATCTAATCAAGCTGCCTTGTTAGCCCCTTGCATGTATTTAGGTACACAGTGACATAAATGTAGCAACTATTAAATAGGTCACAACGAGTGTGAGGTTTTCCACAGCTCCAGCTCAATAAACAGTGTGGTCCATGGTACTCTTGTGATCAGCAGTGTAGTTATAGTAACAGCTGTTTGTTCTACAGTTCAGTATGTTCAAAGTACCTTGCAAGCATTCACTAGTTGAGCTGCACAATGCTTAGGTAGCAGGAACAGGTATCATCTAATTTCTTTTACAGAAAAGATGGCCTGGGGCCAGCCAACACGTTGGCAACAGGCTCAGGAGTAAAAGTGGGCTTTTTCCTCTCTCCTCACTCTGCTGAGCTCTGGAGCAGCACAAGCTAATGAGAGGCAGGTGGGAGGTGAAAGGCTTGGGCATCCTTCTCCTTTGGGGAATAGGAGATGGTGCCAGTTCACGCCCACCTGATGTGATTTCTGCAAAATGGCAAATTTCCTTCACTACTATTGAATGACTCTTGTAAAGAAGCCATTGATTTTTTTTCTGTCATCAGTCCCTCTATCCTCATCTGCATTTTTTGCACTTTCTAAGCAATAGGCAATGCAAATGCCAGAATATTAAACTACTTACAAATGGCATCTCTCTTCTCACTCCTCCTGTAGTCGCTATTGATTTCCAATATCCAAATCTTTTAGGGCTCCTTCTCTTTTGCCTAGTTTCCTGCTCCCAAACCTGCCTTGTGAACTTCCTGATGGAAAGGAACAGCACAGTTGACACTGTGAAATTAGTGATTTCCTTCACTTTATAGCTGTCAATCCTGGAAACTGTGTGGTGGTGTTTTAAGTACTTGCTTGCCCTTAATGATCATCAGCCATCTCTGCTTTTTGCTCAGGGTAATTTGGCTGTTTCAGTAGCTTAGCAAGAATGGGTTTGCTCCCAAAACTGATGGTGCTGGGTGTGGAGAAGGGAAAGGGTGACCTTTTACTAGATCCACAGAGGTTTTACAAGCCTGGCTCTGTTGTTTTCCTTTTCTCCACCAATATTCATGAACAAGTGCTCTGACATGATTAGAGAATCTCATGGCCTCCCAAATGTGTCCAAGGTACTGAAACTTTGAGCAAGAGGTAAAATTCATTAATAAAGCTCTGGCTGCTGGAGAGGCCTTGAGGGGAGGAGCGGGGCTGGGTATCAGAGATGCGTTACAGCGCAGTTGTCAAAGCAGAGGTGTGGAATGAAGGAGTCTCCTCTGTGTGTGAGTCTCACAAGCAGCTCTTTCCGTGTTTCTTTCCAAGCACCGGGATGGAAGGAGCTGATGAGCTGCCTGCTCAAGTTACTACAAAAAAACATTAACTCTGTCCCAGCCAAAGCCAGTACAAACGTGCTGTTTCACAAACCCAGCAGAAAGTAGGGTTTAACCACTGGACATCAAGAGAACTCTGTCTTCAATGACCAGTTCCTGGGATATGGTATCCTCTCTGGTTTTTTCTCTCAGCTTTGCTAATGTTGATAAAAATCGAGCGGGAAGAGTCTTCCCTTTTTTCAGCCTTGTAGAACCCTTGATCTTTGCTGGGTTCCCTGGAAGTGTGACAGAATGTGATGCTGCTTATTCTGCAGGGTGCTTGGCTACCTGCTAGGAAGTCTGATGCTGAGAGATGCTATTAGTGACCACAGAAGCAGCTGTAACTCTATGAAATTATTATTTTCAGAAGGCACTACATGCCATAAACTTCACAAAGTGAATGTTAACACTTTGTTTCCTCCAGGGTACTTCATGTCCCAGAAAGGGCAGTAAAAAATGCTCACACCCATATATTCCAGCATCACCACGAGCACTAAGAACTCTCTCTGCTCTCTTAGACACTCTGGTCCCCAACTAAAGGACTGCTGTTGAGCAAAGCTGTGTTATTCGCTGATGTCCAAAGCGTATTGTGAACTTCTAGATGCACCAAAAATATAATTCTAGGACTTCTCACCTTAGTAAGGAGACCTAGATATACCCACACAAAACATATGCCTGTTCTCAACTCAGCAAGCAGCTCAAATTTCTGAAATTGAAAAATGTACAGGATGAGAATAGATCCTAGCAATCATTCAGAAATATAATTTGAGTAATGAATGAATTCAGGGAAGCTGAAAACTCCTGATGTGATCTGCAAACAGAAAGGGTTGAAAAAAAATCAGATAGGCAACTCACTGGGTATTATTTCTCCTCTGTACATATGAGATTCACCTCATGTAGTTGTAAAACACAATGCTGCAATCATATCCATTTCTGTTTCTATACTGGGGCTTGCAAGAATGGCAGAAAGCAGTTTCAGATGAAATTTCTTATCCTGTGTCTGAGACAATGAAGAATAACAAAAGTGTTTTCAGCACTAGTGGAGACATCTCGTGTGTTTCTGTTTTCTGGTTGCTTTTCTACTTTGTGAAGCGAGATGCTAAAAATGCACAGTGAAAATTCTGGCTATGAACAGCATAGGCCACAGGAGGAGCTAATGAACAAAGCTGTTTAACTCACTTTACTACTTTTAGAGAGGAGACAAGCCAGGAGGTAATTATAATTGAGATGTTATTTGCTGGGATCCTTGCTGAGTAGCAGTTGTTGCTGGCAGTCTTGGACTACTTCGCATAATATCCTGTGAACTGTAGCAGAGCTAAACAGCAAAGCAGTGAGGCCCTGGAGAGACTTGGTTTCTTATTCTTTAGGTAAACCTTCCTTGTCTTCTTTGCCTGGGAATGTGGATTATTGCTCTGGGCAGGCTGGATCATCAGCTCCTCACCCTCTTGACGTGTTCCTCTTGAGTCATGTGAGCAGAAGCAAGGGGGTACAATGGAAGTTCTGAGACCTTACTTTGCTTGATGGAGGGGCAATGTGGAGCCAGTTCAGGCTGTGGTGGTAGCTTTTATTCTCTTGTTGTGAAAATCGGGTAGGTAACTCCTAGCTTTGCTCTGGACTAGGAAGAGTTTTACAGAACCTCATGTTTAGTAAAGCAACTTTTACTAGAAATCACAGCTTCTACTGAGACTAAAGCAAAATCCCTTCTGCAGCCCAAGAGATTTCTCTGCCAGTGCAACTCTGCAGGTCACTTCTGAACCAAATGTGTTGTAAAAGCTGACCTCAATGCATTCAGCGTGGTCCAGATTGGACCTGCCAGCATGGGGCAGGAGGACTTGAGGGGGAAGTAATGTGGCTGTCCCCCACTCCAACACTGGCACTACCCTGGGATGTGACCCTAGTGCACACTGAAGGTCTCTCTGTCTCTGCTATGGATCTCATGTTCAAAGGACAGGACTGGAAGTCCTCAGTTTTATTCCTGGCTCAGCAAAAGACTCATTGTCAAACTTGTGGAAGCCTGTATATGCCTCATGGGTCTGTTTCTCCAGCAGATAGGAGGAGGTAAGAGTTGCATCTCTTTTGGGGTTCACAGTTTTGGCAAAGTCAATGGCAGTTCTCCAGTGGAAGAAGAGCCAAGTGCTGGGAGCCAGCTCTCTGAGGAGCATTTGCTTGAGGAAGAGCTGTGTTGGGTCTAGAAGAGCTGAGGACAAATGCTGTTCCCTGAAGGCAACAGTATTTCAGCACATTTGGGAGATATTAGTAAGCGCTGAGACAGAGTTCATGTGACTTGGGAAAAACAAAACACCGCTGCTTCCAACAGAAATGTTTAGCTGTAGCTTTGTAGTAACTTGAAGCTGATGCAGCATCTCAGTAGTGGGCAAAATATATTAGCTAATTTAACGCACATCCTTTGTTTTCCAGATTAAGAATTAACATCTGCCTTGCTTTCCCTGGCCTTGCTGGCTTCTAGGGACCTGCTAATTCTGCGTCATTTTCAGTGAACAACATGCATTTTTTAGGCACTGTATAACAATAATCAGGTCACCCTAATCCAAACTTTGCTG